GCCATCTGTCAGGGGTGATTTGAATGCAATATTCCTGCTTCTTGGCAGGGGGTTGGACTGGATGGCCCATGAGATCTCTTCCAACTCTATGATTCTCTGATTCTATGACTCCTGGAAAGACAAATAAAAGTCTCTAGAAGCTAAGATGACTAGATTGAGGTTGTCATACTTCGGACATATCACAAGAAGATATGACCTATTAAAAAAGACAATAACACTATGTAACACTATATTTGTTCCTGGGTTATGAATGTCATTTTCCTAATTGGTTCTATTATAAAACCATGGGGAAAGTTTATTAAACTGCAAAAACTTTGTTTTTGTGGGACATCCTGCAGCACATTTTGCAATAATTTTTCATTGAAAATCTCAAGTCTCAACCAATTCAAATAACTTTTGAACTGAGTTTGCAACAACTGAAATAAGCTAAGTTCAAAATGTGAGGAAGAGAGAGAATCTGAGACATTTTTAAAGTGACTGAAAAAATGTGTGATGGAGAAAGAATCAGAACTATCCCTAATCAATTGGAATGGCTTCTGTAGTCCACAACATCAAGCTGAACATAATTCAGGCCTTAATGTATTGTTTCTTGCACATTCTGTATCAGAGATAGTTAACCCATTCAGCTTAAAGTGAGGTGCTTGATTAATGCTTTTTTCAAATGTGTTATTGGGAAATCGTTGACTGGAATCCTTTATCACTGTGTAGTATGCTATTTTGAATGGACTTGGTGCTAAGAAACCCAATTGGGTTTTTTTTTTTTGTCATGGCAGGAGCGACTTGAGAAACTGTAAGTCGCTTCTGGTGTGAGAGAATTGGCCGTCTGCAAGGACACTGCCCAGGGGATGGCCGGATGTTTTAATGTTTTGCCATCCTTGTGGGAGGCTTCTCTCATGTCCCTGCATGGAGAGCTGGAGCTGATAGAGGGAGCTCATCTGCACTCTCCCCGGATTCGAATCTGCGACCTGTCGGTCTTCAGTCCTGCCGGCACAGGGGCTTAACCCACTGTGCCACCGGGGGCTCAAATAATGAATTGTGAAATGTGTAACAGCATATCGGCTAGAGAGTTCAAATGCACATCAAATATTCAATAGTGCATCAGTGGGCTTTCCTATATACTAATATAAAACATGCAAATGTGAGTAGATCAATAGGTACCACTCTGGCGGGAAGGTAACAGCACTCCATGCAATCATGCCGGCCACATGGCCTTGGAGGTGTCTATAGACAATGCTGGCTCTTTGGCTTAGAAATGGAGATGAGCACCACACCCCAGAGTCAGACATGACTGGACTTAATGTCACGGGAAAACCTTTACCTTTAGCTCTTTACTGGATACACAGTACATGTTATGCAACTGCTCAATTCTAATCCCTGCATTTACGAAGTTGTGAAGTCCCCAGCAGAATTTCTTTTGCTTGCTTTCAGGGGTTTTCCAAGGTTTGGCTTCTATGCATGCTCAGTTTCTGCTGGCCAGCTGTTGGTGCTTGTATGGTTCTCCCTCTTAAGTTCCTCTTTTAGGATGCTGTTTTAAAACATGTAATTTCCAACTGAATGTTTAAAATACAACCACAAACAATCATAAGAAGACTCGGGTTATTTTTAGGATCTTAAAGCTGTAAGTCAGATTTGAACCAGACAAGATAAAAAACATTTTTGAGTCAAGAGGCCCAATTTGAATTTGGAAAAGTTTGGATGAACCGCATTCTAGCAGTTCAGGCGCCGTCTACACTGCCATATAAAATCCGGATTTTCTGCTTTGAACTGGATTATATGGCAGTGTAGACTAATGTAATCTGCTTAAAAGAAGATAATTTGGATTATCTGCTTTGATAATCTAGATTATATGGCAGTGGAGATCCAGCCTCAGTTCTATGCAGTTCTATGATGCAGTGCAACAACTTTTCAGCAGAGCTCATTTCCTCAAATGCAAATCAGAGCTCATTTCCATGAAACACTTTTCTGTTCTTATATCTGATCAGAAATAACAGTAGAAGAAAATTGCAAAGCTGATGGACATTAACAGGCCAGGTGTTTCCTTTTCCTTAGTTTACACCCATGGTCAGCGCTATTTTTCTTGTCTCTAACAATATTTCCTGAAATTTATTTGTCCTTTTGTACATGCAGATGCTTTAGTGGAAGGCGTGAAGAGGGTAAATAACCCATCAAAGGGGTTGAAGAAAGTGTGGGGCACCAGATGTTGGACTGCAGCACCCATAACCTCTCATTGCTATGATGGTAAGGGAGGATGGGAATGCTCCTCCTGCCAAATCTGGTCCATTTTAGCTCCCGTGAGATACAGAGCTTTCCAAACTTTTCGTGCCAATTGACATTGAAAAATGAGACCATAATTTTAAGTGTTTTTGTCTATGTATAGTTTTTTTGTTTTTGTGCAGAAAAATCAGAGTTGGAAAGATCCTGAACGATTCCCAAAACTCATTACACTTGCAAATTGCCCGACCAATTTTACTTATACTTTCCTCATAGGCCCAATTACCAGTTAAATTATCTTGGCAAGGCTTTGTCTCTCCTAAGGACATTTAGGTATTAAAGTGATTCTACCCGAGAGAGGAGGCCACAAAAACAGAAATGGTAGTGAAACAGTGAGAAGGGAACCAGAACTCAGTACTGGAGCCTGGCTCGGCACACAATTCACAACTTCTCAGTTTGAGCAGCAAATGGACTTCAGCAAAAGCAGAGTAGGATCTGAGACTACTAGATAATCAGAAAGGAACTGCAAGACTAGAGACCCTTCCACACAGCCATATAACTCGGAATATCAAGGCAGAAAAATCCCACAATATCTGTTTTGAACTGGGTTATGTGAGTCCACACTGCCATATATTCCAGTGGGATTTTATTCAGTTGTGTAGAAGGGGCCTAGATGGGCCAATGACCCAGGTTCAAGTGTTACAGTGACCTGTTCTGTCATTCTTCATGTTGGAAGCAAGAGACAAAAACATGAATTGTGACACCTTTCATTTTTCTTTCTTTTTTGATAACTAGAGAGGAAGCATGTTTATACTTTAAAATTAACAAGTGTGAACAATATGACTTCCTTTAATTTTTGCTGTGTAGGAAGTAACCTATTATATTTAACAAGTTGTTTTTAAAATGTAGTTTAGACGTAAATCTCCAAAACCAAAGGACACTGCCCACAAACCCTTCCAGTATTTTCTGTTGGTCATGGGAGAACTGTGTGCCAAGTTTGGTTCAATTCCAATGTTGGTGGGGTTCAGAATGCTCTTTGATTGTAGGTGAACTATAAATCCCAACAACTACAACTCCCAAATGACAAAAATCTTTTTTTTAGTGAAGGACATACATTGGGTTGTTAGGTGTCTTGTGTCCAAATTTGGTGTTAATTCGTCCAGTGGTTTTTGAGTTCTGTTAATCCCACAAACGAACATTACATTTTTATTTATATAGATTGCATTTTTAAATGAGGACATAACACTGCATTTCAAGAGAAATACGTAATAGTTTTTGAGTAATGCTTTAACATTCCCCGTTGTCCCCTTTCATCCAATTGTACTCCATTCTTGTATAAATGCTAGTTTTAAAAGAAAACAACAAATAAAGATGAAAATAAAACATTTCTCCAGAGTTGACAGCAATAAATTACTTATGATGGAGCCGGGCTGGGTAGGAAGTTGTGTAACAAATTACTTTTAGTTTCTAATCTGTAGACATCAGATTATCTTGGTAGATTCCATGGCAATTGGGGAGAAAATCTATGTAGAAACTTCAAAAGAACTATTGGAGATGTTAGACCTATATGTGGGAGAGATCTCAGCACTATGGATAGCTCTTTAGAGCTCAAACTAAAATGTAATATAGATTCACTGCCCCCAATGAAATGGAAACCACCTATTACTACAGCCACATTTGCCACTTCTGTGGGTTACAGGATGCTTTTTGTTACAAATTGAAATTGAATCCAGACAAGACAGAGGTACTCCTGGTCAGTCGCAAGGCCGAACAGGGTATAGGGTTACAGCCCGTGCTGGATGGGGTCGCACTCCCCTTGAAGGCGCAGGTTCGCAGTTTGGGTGTGATCCTGGATTCATCGCTGAGCCAGGAGCCCCAGATCTCGGCGGTGACCAGGGGAGCATTTGCACAGCTTAGGCTCGTGCGCCAGCTGCGCCCGTACCTTGGGAAGTCTGACTTGGCCACGGTAGTCCACGCTCTGGTTACATCCCGTTTAGACTACTGCAACGCTCTCTACGTGGGGTTGCCTTTGAAGACGGCCCGGAAGCTCCAACTGGTCCAACGCGCGGCAGCCATGATACTAACAGGAGCGGGACGCAGGGAGCATACAACTCCCCTGCTGTACCAGCTCCACTGGCTGCCGATCTGCTACCGGGCTCAATTCAAGGTGCTGGCATTGGCCTATAAAGCCCTAAACGGTTGCGGCCCAAAATACCTAACTGACCGCCTCTCGGCCTATGAGCCCACGAGGACTTTGAGATCTTCCGGGGAGGCCCTGCTCTCGATCCCGCCTGCGTCACAGGCACGGCTGGTGGGGACGAGAGATAGGGCCTTCTCGGTGGTGGCTCCTCGGCTGTGGACATCAGGCTAGCCCCCTCCCTGTTGATATTCCGCAGGAAGTTAAAGACCTGGCTGTTTAAGAAGGCATTTGATCAAGAAGTGCAATGACTGGTATTGACCATAGGAATGGAACAACGGAAATGATATCGGATTGTGGGTTTGACGATGAGACGATTCGGAATGTAGTAGTAATTTTGTAGTAATGTTGATGTTTTGATAATGATGAATTGTGGATTATTTTACACTATGTTTTGTAATTTGCTCTTGTTTTTCCATGTTGTACACCGCAATGAGTCGCCCTTGGGCTGAGAATTGCGGTATATAAGCGCAGTAAATAAATAAATAAATAAATAATGTTACAAAAACTACTCCTTTTTTCCTTAAAACAAAACTATCGGCTTCCCTAATTCCAAACCCGTGTTACAGATTCTTCGTGTCTTTCATTTCAGAGAGAAGAAATAGTTTGCAATACGGGAAGTTGCTGGGAGGCTACCAGGATGGATTCTCTGGGCAAAGACGTGCAGGAGGAGACTTATGTCTTAGTGGAATATGCCTTTGAGTATGCCTCCAAGGATGGGCGGCTGATATCAATCAAACCTAACGAGAGATACATCCTTTTGAGGCGGACAAATGACCACTGGTGGCACGTTAGGAAAAGCAAAGAAACTCGGCCTTTCTACATCCCAGCAAAGTATGTCAAAGAGCTGGGACCCATCACCCAGACTGTACCGTCTTTGGATATGCTGCCCCCCAAAAACTCGGAGAATCCCAATTTAGGAGCTTCTGTTGAGCCTGGCAAGGAGCAATCACCGGAGTATGTGTATCGGTTTGTGAACGCTGGTCAAGAAGGTAATGCAGATTCCTCCCAACACCAGTCCATCTCTTCTGGAGCAGGAGAGACAGTCCCTTTGGACAACAGTGAAAAGGCACTGCCCTTCCATTCTGGAGCCAAAAGACCACCCATTAGCACATCTTATGGATCGTTTAAACCTTCCTACAAAACAGGCTCAAGTAATCTCCTGGAGAGCTCTGGCTCCTCCACTGAACACATGAGGTCTACAGTGTCTCTGGATGATTTGGCAAGGTTCACCCCTCATGGCCAAGTAGGCAATGTCGGGAACTCAGGATTGCACAAAGCAGCTTCATGGAACCACCCCCATCCTTGCCTGAAGAGCAGCTCAGAGAACCTCCATAAAGTTGCTGAGGACAGGGCGGACATACTGGAGAAGAATGACGAACAGGTACAGTATCTGTTGCGGTTCTTAACCATAGGTGAAGATCGGGAATGGTAGTGGTTCCACAGAGCACTAACTGGGATCTCTTGTCATTTCTGACCTTGCATTGTGTCAATACTGTCCTTTCCCCTGTGTTTCTTGACTTTCCAGTAGATCCAGGGGTTTAATACTGAGTTCATGGCAAAGATCTGATACATAATCTCTGAAAATGGCTGGCATTCTTCACTGAAGAAGAGATATCATACTGCACATGCAGAGAATACTTTTTTCTTGTCAGTCCATGGCTAAAAATCTGTTTTTGGTGCTGAATCTTAACATCTCTGTACTTTTCATTTGATACTGGTTACTTGGGTTATTCTAGAAGTACAGTAGACCCTCCACCTTTCTTGGAATTAAGAGTGCAGGAATAGAAAAAGTTAATACTTCTGCAAAAGTAGAAAAGTAAATTTCTAGGAATCTCTAGGCCCTCCTGTATGACTCTATAAATATCAATTTCAAGAAGCTGACTATAATAACTTAGAGAGGTTATCAAGGCAGGGGGGTCAAAGAATCCCACCACTGTCTTTCCTGACAATAAGGAATTCACACCACTTTGGCTCTTATAGTGTTTGAGGGGATGTCTCGTTATGTAAAACCTTCGCTGCCACCATAAACTAAAGAAACACGAACCCTCTAGCTATTTAAAATGTTAAAATGCTGTTTAAATTAATAAAAGGCTTTTTACTCCACCAAATGCTGTGTATTATCAAGGGCTTTCTTTGAGGGGAAAACAGGAGAGGTTGATTCAACAAGGAAAATGACTCCAACCAAAAATGGCACTTGACTCAGGCTTCAATTTTAAAAATAACAAGAAAGAGTTTATTGATTACAAATTACAGAATTATAAGTGAATGCAGGTTCAGAGGCTTAGCTGTTACAAATAAAAGTGTTCTTGTTTCTTAGAAGCGTAATGGTTACTTGAGAGAATGGTTCTTTCCTTTGTTACAATTTCTTAAACACAAAACCCAGCTATTTTTTTTCTAAAATAGCTGTAACTCAGTCTGCCACAGCCTACTGTGCTGTGCAAACTACCGGCAAGCTGCCTATTCTTAACAGAGTCTCCTAAAACATCCAAATCCTACTCTAATCTCTCTCAGAACTGAACTGCTCTCTACTCTACTCAGAACTGCACTCTACACAGAACTGAACTCTACTAAACTGTCCAAATTAAGCTGCTCTCTTTCCCTCCATCTGGCTAACTCCGCCCCTCTTTTCCAAACCAATCCTGGCTGTTGCTGGGCTGGCTCAGGCCTAGGCCACTCCCCCTCTCTGAGCTGGAGTTTCCCTAAACTAAGATGGCTCCAGCAGCTCTCTGCCAGGCCTTCTAAGCTGAAACTACCCAGCCTGTCTCCTCCTGGGCCCTGCCACCCTGGCTGGCAAGGTAAGGGATCTTTACACTGACCATAGAATCCTTAGAATCGAAATGGAAGATCTACAAATGTCTAGAGAAATCTTCTCTTTAGGAATTTCTAGTGTGACTTTATTTATTTATTTATTTATTTCAGTTGATTCTACCCCGCCCTTATCACCCCGAAGGGGACTCAGGACGGCTTACGAAAGCAAGGCACAATTTGATGCCCGCATCACATAACAGCAATAAAAAACAATAACATCAATTAACAATTAAACAACAATTCTTGCATTATAACCATAAAACCAATACAAACCAATTTCTCCTCAATTGACGGTCAGCGTTCGCTATCTCATAATTCAATTTCCAATTCCACAATTGTCAGTCCTGTCAGTCCTATTCGTCTGGTTGTCCTTATCTAGTTAGTAGATTGCCCGAAGGCCTGGTCCCACAACCACGTCTTTACTTTCCTCCTGAAGGACAGGAGTGATGTCGATGCCCTGATTTCCCCGGGAAGTGAGTTCCACAGGTGAGGGGCAACCACTGAGAAGGCCCTGCTCCTTGTCCCCACAAGCCTCGCTTGTGATAGCGGTGGGGTTGAGAGCAGGGCCCCCCCAGATGATCTCAAGTTCCGGGGTGGGACGTAGAGGGAGATACGTTCAGACAGATACACTGGACCGGAACCGTACAGGGTTTTGTAGGTCAAAACCAGCACCTTGTTTGGGCTCAGAACTGAACCAGCAGCTAGTGGAGCTGACACAAGAGGGGGGTGGTGTGCTCCCTGTATGTCGCTCCGGTGAGCAATGTGGCTGCCGCTCGCTGGACCAGTTGAAGTTTCTGAACAGTTTTCAAGGGCAACCCCACGTAGAGTGCGTTGCAGTAGTCTATTCGGGATGTAACAAGAGCGTGGGCCACTGTGGCCAGATCAGACTTCCCAAGGTACGGGTGCAACTGGTGCACAAGTTCTAGTTGTGCAAAAGCTCTCCCGGCCACCGCTGAGACCTGGGGTTCCAGGCTCAGCGATGAGTCCAGGATCACTCCCAAGCTGCGAACCTGAGTCTTCAGGGGGAGTGTAACCTCGTCCAACACAGGCTGTATCCCTATACCCTGTTCGGCCTTACGACTGACCAGTAGGACCTCTGTCTTGTCTGGATTTAGTTTCAATTTGTTAGCTCTCATCCAGTCCAACACAGCAGCTAAACACCGATTCAAGGTCTTTATAGTCATCTCCTAGCACAGTTGACCACAGAGTTGTGCAGGAGAATCTAGATTTTTTAGAGCTAATCTATTAATTAAATCTGTGAATAATTGAACCTGCAAAAGTTCAATGTGTACATGTGGAGGACAAACTGTAAAACGCAATTGCTAATGTTACATGTATGGCAGATTTCCCTGAATTGATCATTTTTGACAATTGACAGGAGATCTTGTGTTGGAAGGCTCTTGGGTTGTGCTTATTATAATTTATAGGAATATTCTGCTGATCTAGTCCCAAAGTTGTAAATTAATGATAACGTCTTCCATCCTGGATCCATCTCAGTTTCCTGGCCAGATGTTGATTCTTCTTCATTGGTGTTGATCTTATGTTGACTTCCTTCTTAACATTGTAAACATTTCTGTTATCACTGTCCTCATTATTATCAGAGTTTACTTTTCAGTTCTTATTTGCAACTTTTAATTACAGTCCCAGCAAGTAAGTAGTTAGTAATTGCAGGTCTTAATATTTTACTGGTGCTTCTAAAATTATAACTCCATCCATACATCCTTCTGTTCAATTCATTCATACTCACACATCATTATATCAAATCCACATTTATCAAATCTGCATATTAAATTTTTGCTACAAAACAAAAACATTTACTTCAAAGTCTGCAAAAAAATGCCATGCAAAAGAATAAAATGCCAATGCAAAAAAATACTGTACAACAAATACCTACATTGCTTTTTGGTACAGTTTGGGAATCTTGTAACTATAAACTGAACTACTTTCAATTCCCATATTCTACGGAGAGACAAGCAAACAAACAGGAAAAGGCAGAACTATTTCAAATCCTCTATAGTCTAAAAGAGAAGTGAGCGTGGCACTTACACCTCATGTGAGAAAAGTATTAACATATTATTTTAAATTAAAATGTATGCAGGCTACAAATAGTTGCCAACATCTTTTCTTCTCCCCTCCCTACTCTTGTTCCCATGCTTTTGGCTTGATCTGCAGATATGATGGAGCCGATAGTCACGCTGTGGAAAACGTGGCCCATTGATTTGTGTTGATAGAGCTATGGATTACAGGCAAAAGAGCAGCTGGGTTGTTTTTATTCTGTTTAGGCAACAACACTAGCTGCAGTCAGAGGCAAGGCCAACTTTACCATTAGGCAGCAAATCTGGGCATTAGAAATAACAGAGATATTAATAATTGCCTTTGTTATTTTGGTTGTTATATCATTATCTTTAGCCATATGCACAGTTCTCTTTCTTTATAATATTTGTATTGGTTTTATCCGTTTTTACCCATTCTATATCTGTTGTCCATTTGTTTTTTATTTCCTTTATTGTCTCCTCTTGCACATCCTCCTTCGTCACACTTGTAATAATATGGAATTGTACCTGTTCGTATATATAATTGTTCCAGTTCTCAAACGTCTACTTTTTGAAATCTTTCCACCCTCATGCAATTATTGCTTGTCCAAATCAAATTATTATTATTATTATTATTATTATTATTATTATTATTATTATCTTTATTTGTACCCGGCTAACATCTCCCGAAGGACTCGATGCGGCTTACAAAGGCCAAGGCCTCAATAAAACAACAATATAACAAATACACATAAACCAAAAGCAAATCAAAACATTAAAGCAATAACAGTAAGCAGTAAAAAATAAAAACAGTACACCGTAACACAATAAAACTAGGTCAGGCCAAATGTAATGGGTACCGATTAAAAAGTGCTGAGTATGCTGAGTGAGATATAAGGATTTTTGGATAAGTGCAATGTGCGGACAATCTTAATCTCTAATAAAGTGCTTCTGGGACGTGTTGCTGGAGTTTCCTATTCTGGAAAGGCACACCGGAATAGCCAGGTCTTCAAGCTCTTCCTAAAGACTGCCAACATAGGGGCTTGTCTGATGTCCTTGGGGAGGGTGTTCCAGAGTGGGGGGGGCTACCACAGAGAAGGCCCTGTCCCTCGTCCCCACCAACCGCACTTGCGATGCAGGTGGGATCGTGAGCAGGGTCTCTCCGAATGAATGAAGGGGGCGTGCGGGTTCATAAAAGGAGATGCAGTCACGCAAGTAGGCAGGTCCCAAACCCTTTAGGGCTTTGTAGGTGAGCACCTGCACCTTGAATTAGGACCGGAAAATAAATGGCAACCAGTGGATCTCCTTGAACAGGAGGGTTGACCTCTCTCTGTAAGAAGCACCAGTTAACATCCTGGCCGCCGCCCGTTAGACTAGCTGAAATTTCCGAACGGTTTTCAAGGGCAGCCCCACGTAGAGCGCATTACAGTAGTCCAATTTAAAATCATAATTTTAAACAGTTCTTGTTCCTTTCTATTAATTCTCTTGTTTCCTAACATTCCCATTGGTATCATATCTAAATGTACTTGTATAGGTATTT